CGGACGCTGAGGAAATACTCGTATGACGGATCAAGCCATAAAGTTATGAGCCTGCTATGCTAAAGAGATCAGGGACAGGCCAGGATAATGTCAGACAGAATGGTCAGAGAAAAATTGAGCTGTGATGTGAGGAGAACCAGTGGAGAACAGGACAGGTGCCTTTTAGGTGAGAGACGTACTTATAGTATACACGTTCGCTAACGATATACACTGTGCTCACAATATTGTACAGATTATTATGATCCTATAACAGGCCAGCAGACATTAGTATGTTTAGGGTAGATTTATATACTATTAAATGTATAAAAACTTTACTTGAGTATATTTCTATACTAAAAGCATAGGCTATACTCGGGTAAATTTTTAATACATATTTTTCACCTTGGTTATAACATAAACAGAACATTAAAGGTTTGAGTATTTAAACAACCAATTTTGTTTTTCAATTACAAGTTTTATTTAGGGCATGACATGACTAAGTTACCTATATTTGATGCCATTGGTAGTATACCACGATCAATATTCTTGCTTCGGCATACCATGTTGAACTCCATCATATCGCCGGGATGCTAATCATTTGATCTGAAGTGAACGCTACACACGACCGTGTTTTCCGAGCCGAGAGGAGAAATCCCGTCTCTTCACCTGCTCAAACCGCACCAGGAACGAAAGATAGGCTATATAGCACAGTCACTTTTATTGTAATGGAAACTTGTGGACTCGATCTTGAAGTCCTGACAGGCTGGAGTTTTTGCAATCTCCACAAACACAATATTTACCATGACGATGATAAATTAAAATGCAAAAACTAACGAAAGCACACTGACTGACGAGCGCTCTCACTGAACACCAGCCTGCTCTCACTGAGCCGAGGCTGCGGCTCCCTGCTATGACGTCAAATGACGCGACGTTGAAAAAAAAGCCGTTTTTACTAGCAGTCCAAGAAACGCTCACTTTATCTTCTAAATTAGTGTCCTTATGTTGTTTTAAAACATTTTAAATCCTGCATTAACTTTTCATATGGTATTTTCATACAAGGTTATCTATAAATTTCGATTTTTTTTTTACCTGCAATATGCTCTTTAAATATCCCAAGTGACTACCGTGGCTCAACTATATGTTTATCAAGCGACGCGAATACTTTTTGTGCGAAAAAACAAACAAAAATAACGAGTTTATTCGACTATTTCTTTTCTTCCTTGTAGGCCAGAACGAGAATTCCTTAGATTTCCACGACGCATGCGCGAGAATTGCGATCTAAGCTGGTGTAAGCAGATCGCAAATCTCGCGCATGCGTCGTGGAAATCTAAGGAATTCTCGTTCTGGCCTACAAGGAAGAAAAGAAATAGTCGAATAAACTCGTTATTTTTGTTTGTTTTTAAATTCTCTCAAATTTAATCAAAAATATCTTCATTTGTGTTCCGAAGACGAACGAAGGTCTTACGGGGTTGGTACAGCATGGGGGTGAGTAATTAATGACTTAATTTTCATTTTTGGGTGAACTAACCCTTTAATGTCAGGAGATACATTGTTGACTACTGTTAAAAAGGGGTGTTTTCAGCAGCTTCTGAATGTAACTTGTAAAGTAACTAAGTTACTTTTAAAATCAAGTAATCTGTAAAGTAACTAAGTTACTTTTTTAATCACGTAATCTGTAAAGTAACTAAGTTACTTTTTCAAAGTAACTGTGGCAACACAACATATTACACCCACTTAGACAAGAAGGAGCCATTTGACTGACGTGTAAAGTGACCAACAATTGTTGTTTGATTTTTTTTCTGTGATTTTTAATGTGAAATTTGCTGAAGGATATCTATTTTTCTTGCAGAGACTGCAATTACCCTGTCAACAAATTCTTATTTATTTATTTATTTTCATATTAGATCTTACAGCAAAAAAAGCTAAATATTTCCATTTAAATATTTCTTTCTGTGGGTAACACTTTACAATAAGGTCTCAGTTAATGCATTAAATAACATGACCTAACAATGAGAAATGTGTTTTTACAGCATTTGTTCAGAGCATTAACTAATATTTACAGATACATCTAAGATTAACATTATCAAGATTAATAAATGCTGTATAAGTGTTCATTGTTAGTTCATGTTATCATTATTTTTACTGCTATTATTATCATTATTATGAGTGACCTAAATGTGACCTGTTTATGTTTCTCTATTAAAAAACAGCATAATTCGGTTGAAGTCATTTTGCAAGAATTCGCTATTATTTTACATGATAAATGATGTAAATTTCACTCGGTCTTTTTATACGATTAGCTCTCTAGTACTGAAACAGCACTCTCTTTGTCTCATTTCTTCCTATCGTGTGATTTCAACACAAGCGCTCAGTGTTCTTCATCCCACTGGAACTTATTCTGTCTTATCACTGATGAGTCACAGATATTTTTTAGGAAACACTTTCTGGGCTAAATCCGATTGAGAGAGTCAGAATAGATTAGCGTTGACAGTCTGCATGTTGTGTGGTGTAGTATTGAACAGGGTCTGTATTCCTGAAGCACTGCAAAGCCAAACTGCTTTCTGTTGTTGTGGCCGGACTCGGCTACGTGACCTAGTTGGGTGGCGACCCGGATGATCAGTGTAAAGTATCATGACAATAGTGTGAGAGCAGGGGCCGAGAGACGAGGCTTTGAAGCTCACGCCACTTGTCAGCCGCCTGCCTTATCCTGATGCAAGTCACAGCGAGTTTTCCACGGCTTTGCCTATTTAAAAAAACAAAAGCAAACATGCACTAACATTCAAAAGTTTTTCTTAAAAGAAAGCAGTACTTTTATTCAGCAAAGAAATATAAAAAAATATGAATCGCTGATCAGAAGTGCCAGTAAAGATGTTACAAAAGATTTCTTATTCAAATAAATGTTGTTCTTTTAGACTTTCTATTCTTAAAAGAACACTGGAAATAAGAAATGTTCCTTGAGCAGCAAATCATCATATTAGAATGATTTCTGAAGGATCATGTGACAGTGAAGACTGGAGTAAAAAAGTAAAAGTAAAGTAAAAAAGTTATTTTAAATTGTACAAATATTTTACATTGTTACGTTTTACTTTTTACAGTATTTTTGGTTAAATCATTAAACATAAGAGCACAAACTTTTGAATGGTAGTGTATTATTATTATTATAGATACCTGATTTTAGCAAATATATATTAATGCAATACATGAAGAGAAGGGTGAAATAAAGATTCACAGTATGTCCACTATTATCTTGTAAAAACATATTTTTGTCCCGAAACTCCTTAATAAATAAAAGGGGAACACATTTCAATATTTGGATTATTCTGTATCCTACCAGTAAGAATGTAGTTTAAAGGTTCACCAAGTGATTTGTAAGAAAACTGCTGTTGAAAATGTAAATCAGCACTTAAACAATTAATTTTGTGAATATTTTTTAGATCAGTGTTTTCCAACCACTGTGCCTGTGCTGCGACAGGTTGTCAGGTGTGCCAACCTATAATTGGAAATATAATTGGAAGATGGGTTATGGTCATGCAATAGGACCCTTGTTAAGATTGGAAAAGCTTTACAGTGCTGGAGAGACATGAAAACTGACACAGAACTTTCTTTGTTTCTGCTTGATATATGAGTAACGTTGGTTTCTGCTGTTTTTCACAGAACCAAGATATGCGAGGTATGTTTTGAATCACAGCTGATTTATTCATACCTGGCCGTTGCCTGTGTTGCATAACGTGTTATTTTGGGAGTGGTGCCACTCTTAGAAGAAAAAGTTCTATATAGAACCTTAAAAGGTTCTATCAGCGCTACGTATTTGGAACCCCTAAAAGGTTCTATACAGAACCCTTTCTAAGGCTTCAATAATAAGAACCCTTTAAGGTTCTTTGTAACCAGGAAAAAGGTTCTAAATTGAACATTTTGGGTTCATTCATTTTCATTTGTTTTGTCCTTTCCGGATTAAATATTTCATATTATTGACAAACATCAAGACCCTAAAATGTATTTATGAATGCATGTGCATGATCACAAAATTCAAGATATGGGGGTTAGAAAATTTATATATTTATATCATTTTATGTAGTTAATCAATATCACACGAAGAGTGCCATTTCAGTTTTTCTCCTCAAAATCAGAATGATTAAAATATGTTAACAGTTTAATAAACAATAATTTAATTACAACTACAAAATGTTGCAGAATAATGTAATATATGAATGAATAATAGCCTATAAAGAGCATTTGTGCCAAAATGGTCCTTTCTTGTCATTATAGAACCTTTTTTAGCATACAAGGTTCTTTGGAGTTGAGTAAAGAACCCTATGCTTCATATAGAACCCCAATGAACCCTTTTTTCTAAGAGTGTGTTATCTACAGCGTTTCTCAGTAATCACTTAATTTAACATATTTTATACCTTCTAAATCCATTCCACAGAATTCCTCTGATTTTTCCCTAAAATCAGGGCACAATTAATAAGTGACATGTAGTATCATTTTTAACGATGTATTTGCTGTTTTTTCTCTAGGTCAGACCACCTGTACGTTTTCTTCATCCAGTGGAGCCCTGATGTTTTTGGGGATGGGCTAGGAATCATCAGCCGTGATCCTGGCTTCATCGTGGTAAAGAAAATCGAGGAGTCCGAGGCAAACGAGGAGCAGCAAACTGTAGAAAGTTCAACCAAGGAGTGGGAGGTACAGTATGGCCCGTCCAGCTCCAATGTTTGGATTGATATTATATCTGTGATTTATGCCCATGTCTGTGTTCTCTTTGTTGATATGCACTATATTTGATTCTCTTTATTGTATTTGCACCTGTCTTTGTGCCTTTATTGTTTGTTTCTATGTTCCAGGTGTCTGGAAGTGTCTTTATTGTGTTCACCGCACTTAATACACCTTCATGCACCAGTCATACTTTGTTGTCAGAGCTCCTGTTTTCAATCTTGCTGAATGTTTCACAGACTGGGTTGTTTTGCCCTTGGTCGATACGTTTCTTGTGAAACCAAGATGCATTGTTCACTGTGAGCTTGCAGCTAGTGTTTTGCATGAGTGTGCAATTGTTTTGTTATTATTGTTTTATTTTATTTTTCAAGAAAGAGGAACATGTATGCAGTTTATGCATGCATGAATCCCTCAGTCATGATTAAAAGGCATGGTTTAACCTGACTAGAATGAAATACAAGCAAATCATGCCTACAGGTGCAAGTGTTGTTTCCTCGTGTATTATGCGTGGTGGGGTGGTCCAGCTCAGTTTGGATGTTTTACTGATTGAATAATAGGAAACATTACCGCCTGAGATTTCCCTGCATGTCATTGTGTTCCGGTTGGCGTATTGAAACTAATCGGTGGCACTGAGAAACCGATACTATGACCACGGCAGCATTTAAATTTGACTTTAAATTAATGATGTAGGGAACAAAATAGACTGATTTGTTATTCTAGAACTGGAGGATCTTTGCAAAGCCACATGATCTTTTGATATGAATAAATAAAATCAACTTTCTCTGATCATGGCCACAGGGGTGGCGTGGTGTGAGTCATGAACTCAACCGTATATTGTGATGGGATACTCAGGGGTCAGTTGTAACATTTAACAACCGAGATCAATGACACTTTAAGTACAGTTGTTTGTTTTTTTGTGAGATATTTTGTATGGCCCGTATTTTCCTCTGCAGTCTAAAATGGTGATGACTGACTGTTAGTTTAAACATTGTTCAGCAGTTAAACTTTAGCAAGTTGGGGGCATTCAATTATATAATGTACATTGTTTCCAGAGGATGCACTAAGATCAATCTGGGATAACATGGATCATCAGGTTTTGCTAGTACTTGTGGAATCTATTTCTGCTCAAATGCTTTGTCTGTTTCTAAGTGCATACTTTCCAGCTTTTTCCAACTCTGATGTGCTAAAATACATAATACAATATACTGTATATATTTTCTGCATGAAAATTACCAGCACGTTGACTATTAGTCATGATTTGCTTTAAACATTATTCCTTACAGCTAAAAGAATTAGAATCATTTAATAGTAAAACAAAGTATTCAAGAAAGCAGTTATATTATTACTTTGAGGAGCACTCTTATTTGATAAATAGCGAGTGGATTAGTATCATTTTTAAGTGTTAAATTTGCTGCTGGCGGTTGTAATCCTCCTACTTCTCATGTCATATGTACTACTTCTCAGTGTAAATATTATAATCTTTGACACGTGCATGTTTCTAATGCATGGTTAGTAGTAAAATGTTTACATTTTACAAATTCCCTGGTTACTCTTAGGTTAAATCATGTAGGCCTACTAAATAAATGTATTTACTATGAGTATTAAAGACTATCAGACATCTTGTATTATATTGCCTCAATTTTGCTACTTTGTTGTTACTCAAAACATAGTGAACAGTCCATCATTGTGGGCATCATGCTCAAAAAAAAAATGCTTTCTATGTTGGCGGCAATTCATTAGGTTATTTACAGTAGTGTTCATGGTAAGTGACATTTGAAACGTGGCCGGAGTGTTGCAGTTATTCTGCTCAAAAAGCAGTTTATTGGTTTAACGATAAGGGGACTAAATACAGGCTAAATACAGTCTAGATACAGAACGTGTGTATTTAACTCTGAACGAGTCCTCAACGACTGACTAAATATTTTCCATAATGTCCGTTTGGATCTCTCCTTGGATCATTTATCATTTTACTCTTCTCAAACATTATTTAAAATAAAAAAATTAAAATGAAAATAGTCACGTTTAGGGAGGTGCGGTTGTCCCTTTAAATGCACTAACGTGTCTTCCGTACACGAGGCGGAACGTATTTTACCAGAGCCAATCAGAGACCGAGTTTGGTCATTTCGCGCGATATCATTGGCTCCCAGAGGTGTCCGTCATTATATTGTCGTTGTGTATATTTCTGAATATGGCAAGTTGCCCGTCGACCGAAGGAAGGCTGAATGTGACCGATAGTGATACCGTGTTCTCTAAGCGGGTGATGGAAGGAAAACCACTGACTCCGAAGTACACCTATGTATGTAAACACAAGTGTGTTGTGTGAATGCGTTTACTGAAGAGTAATGTGTGAGCGGTCTGTTGAATTATTAGCGTATGTTAATATGTCTGGCTGAGTTGATTGACGCGGGCTGTCTTCATTGGTTTGTGTTGCTGCTTTTAAAGTCAAACAGTATAACTTAACTTACAAGTGATATGTGGTTGTCTGCAGCTGTTACTGCTCTTTCATCTGTGATGCTGGAGCTTGTGTGTGCGTGTGTGAAAGATAGAATCAGTGGATGTCTCACCTGAGACGAGATGCATTTTTTATGAATGCTCTAGTTTACCTTCCTCCTTGTACATTATTGAGGTTTGTAAAGTGGCAACTTATCGGCTAAAACTTTTATTTACCGTCTTGGAGTAGAATGACTGCTGGCTTGATCATTTCTCTTTTACTGTCGATTATCACTGCAAGTCAGCGTGTTGCAGGACTTTAAAGGGATAGTTCACCAAAAAAAAAAAAAAAACTGCCTTTACTCTCTGTCAAGACATTCCATATTCCAACCAGTATGACGACTTCCGTAAAACACGAAAGAGGAATTTAAAGTGAACGACCTCGCTCTTTTCTACATAAGGAAGGTGAATATGGACTGGACTTTAAAGAGATAATTCACCCAAAAATAAAAATCCTTTCATTAATTACTCACCCTCATGTTGTTCCAAACCCTTAAGACTTTCGTTCATCTTCAGAACACAAATGAAGATTTTTTTTTTTAATAAATCTGAGAGCTTTCTGTCCCTCCATAGATAGCATATACAACTGAAACGTTGACGCTAAAGAGATCGTAAAACATTCATATGTATTGAGTGATTTAGTAAACTTTCTGAAGAGACCCGATTTATTGAAGCTCAAATGTACTTTAACATAAAAGAATGAACCTCGTTGGTTACGTAGCACATTCGAGTTAACAGAAGACGTTTGTTCTTGCGCGTCATTCTTGTTCGGTTGAGCTTCTGTATGCGTTAGCAATATTAAAAGTGTAATTCGTCAATTTCTCTCAAATAAATCCTGTCGTTAATGGCGCGCAAGGCATCCATCTGTTGTATCCATCCTTCGAGGACACATTTGAAGGGGAATTGGGACAGCCTTTGTCGCGCAGCAGTGTGCCCTTCGAAGGATGCATGCAGCATTTGTTTGCTTTATTTTGCAACAAAATAATAGTTCCAACGAAAGCCTCAGAAAAAATTGGGTCTTCAAGCAGCATATACAACAATGTTTCGTTTGTCAATGATTCAATGACCCATTCATAAATACAGCCACTTTTTAGTTACTGAATAAACGATTGACTCAATGACTTAATCAAGACGGGGACTTGCCGCCACCTCTTGGTGATTTTAGTTTAATATTTAAAAGCATCACTTCATTTTTATCATAATTTCATATTTCTGTTTTGAACATTTTTTATATCTCATAACATTATTTATGCCATCGTAATTGCATTCAATCCACCTCTGAGCACGATTAAGCAGTGTTAATACATCAGCTTGTGCCACTGTGCAGTGCAAAGATGGCTTTTGTTGATGGTTTCATTTGATTTAAATTATTAATTTTGTTTAATTTACTGCTTTATTTATTATATTAATAATTAAGTTAGTCAAAGAGAGGGTGTACGCTGAAGGATGTTAAATGCTAAAGGGGGTACACCGCTCTAAAAGGTTTCAGAACCACTGGTCTAGTCAAACGTTCTTGTGAGTCGGATCTTTTCAATGAATCGGTTGTTCCAATTCACAAAACAAAAAACCTGATTAGTCTGATTTGTGCGCTTTCAACTCAATAATTTGATGTTCCAGTTAACTACCTCAATTAAATGCATAAATGTATGGCTTCAGAAGACTTTTGTATTGTTTTCCATTTATTAGAGTACTTTTATAAAACATGTATTGCCTTTTTTACCATTTTGGAGCTTGACAGCCCCAGTCCCCATTCACTTTCTCAATACTGGATTAGGATATTGGCTGGGGTATTCCTCAAATTACCTGAGCATTGGTAAATGACAAAGGTTTGACCTTGCTTCTGGTGAACTATTCTTTCATGTGTCGCATAGTTAATAGGTGTGGCAACCAACAATGTTAAATTATGTGACAGGTCAGATTTGACATTTACTGAAGATAAACACATGCCATAAAATTTCAAGGTCACCGTAAGGTGGTATTCTTGCTTAGACGTGCAAGTCTTTATTCAAGTGGTATGGTCTATAGAACAAGCTGTGTAATTTTAGAGCTTTCTAATCAAGTATGCAACATCTGACTTTAAGAATGAGGCTGAGTAAAATAATGACAGATTATTTAGTTTCAGTGGGGACATTGGGTGTTTGTTATTTCTATGTGGCTCTGCTATGGCTTATGTTAGCTGTTATGAATATGATTTTCATATCTGTCCGCACTGCGCAGAGCTTCTTGCAAAACAGTTCACACAATCATGCAAAACACTCTCTGTGTTGTCTGCTCACATTTGTGCTTTAGTTTAACATATAGACATGATATAGACTTTCAATCTTACACTCATCTCTTCCATATACCATATAAGATGATCATTCTTGACCGCAGTTTTCAAACTTTAATAGTCAACATCTTGTGTTAAAAGAGTTCCAATCTGCACATTCTTGTCCATATTTTGGCCTCATCCTGTTGTCCTGCTCAGCGGTGTGGTTGTGTCCCCGTCTCTGGAGCAGGTAGTCTCATGGACTGAGTACCACTGCCGGATCGATGCGTTAAACAGTGAAGATCTGCGCTCCCTATGCAAACGCCTCCAGGTGCACAAAATCAGTAGATCCCTGCAGATGTAGTTGTAGGTTTTGTAGACTGTACTTGTCTTGCTGTGGATGGCCAGTTTGAGCCTGTGACCAAAACAATGTTTGTGCAGAAATTTCCTGAAATGTTTTTTTTTTCTATACCAAAGCACTATATGTTAGATTTTCTTCAATGCACAAATTAGATCTTCATGTCCCTGTAAAATAAAAATAAAAAATGGTTAATGAAAGTTTTCTCCTTTAGAACTCACAAATTAACTCTAAAACCGTATTCTGGACAAATGTGGGCAAAATAGTTTTGATTTATTTAAAAAAAAATACTTCACGATCTGAGTGCTACAAGACTTGGCTACTTTTCCTAAGTTTGCCTCCTGAACACACCATTTTTTTTTTTTTTTTTGACTACAATGGATGGGAAAAAAACCTCCTTAATCTTGTATTTGGGTCAAAAATGGGCACCCATAGAAATGAATGGGAAAAACTGTAATTTAGAGCATTCTAAAATAAGCCAAAATAAGACATCGGGTGACAGCAAAGTTACTTCATCTTCATCTTTAGGTTTTAGCTCTAAGAACTTATTGGAATGATATTTTAATATAGTTAAAATAAATAAAACATAAAAATAAGCATAATTTACATAGAAAATATGGTACTTTTTAAAGTAAATAAATTTAAAAATACCCCCAAAATAAAAAAAAAAACCCACAAATGGATAGACAAAACTTTATCGAAGACAGTGATATAACATTTATAATAAATAAAAATTAGGATCACACCTGAGTCCTCTGTGCCCACATTTGTCCACAATTACAGGATTAAGGGCTATAAAGTGAATACGGTTTGAGGGCCACATAAAAAATTGAATTATTTGGAATTATCTAGGCTAATTATGAGATGCGTAAATTAGCGGTTTTATGTCATTGCTGATCTGCTATATTCCATTTTTGGAGATACCAAGCAGTTGCATCCCATTAGAACACCTAAACTGGTTGAAATGAAGAATTTTCTGGAAGCTGTGCTAGAGAAAGTGGATCGTATGTCCATGTTCTGAGGTTCAGAAGGGTGTTTGGGTCAAGACCTGCACTGACTGCTGCTCAATCATTTGCTGCTCAACAATTGATGTAATTGAAGCACGGCCGGCGTAACCTGAGTGTGTTCAGGCCACTAGAGGGAATGTTAACTGTTTGTCTGTGGCACTATTGTAAAATAACACCACTAGTCGCAGACTTTTGCTTTTCAACTGGTTATTCTTCAGGAACCAGATTTTATATTGAATATTAAGTGGTGATGCAACACAGTGCACATATTTCTTATAAAAGTGAAGTAAACTGTACTTGTATTCAAAGTATACATTTTATCAGTTCATGTGTTTCCCGGGAATCGAACCCATGACCTCTGTGTTGCTAGCACCATGCATACTGTTTGAGCTTTAGGAATCCTTATGCTCAGCTACATAGGCACAACAGTATGCCTGATTTATTATAATAACAGGCTGAATAAAGAAATTGACAATTTCCACTGGTTGAGAACCGCTTTATATGAAAACCATATCCCATATTTCCTCGCCAAAACCTTTCCAGTGAGATTAGATTTGTTGTCTCAGGTTAGTGTGTCCCCTTAGGTTAATTCCACCATAGAATTTGCATGTTAATTCTATGCAGCTTTACGTCCACACATGTTTTGAATACCAAATCCCTACCGCGAGGGTAAATTTAAGGGAAGATCTAGAGTCATGACTTATTATAGTCTCAGATTTATGTGGCATTAAGCACTAGACGGTTTGCCAATGGTGTCTTCTGTCTTTAGATCACCACAAAAGAGGACGTGAACTCCACACATGGCACGTCGTCCTTCTCCGCCAGTCTGGAGCCGGAGACTTTCAAGCCCAACCTGAACGAACCCAGTGACCTTCTGGATGCTGACCAGATTGAGAAGGTAAGCGCACAGCGCACAGTTTTTCATCGATCCACTGGTCCGAAAATAGACGTCCCTCCCTGCTGTACACCGGTTATTGATCCTCGAGCGGAGGATGGTCTCAGACATGTTAACAGACAGATGTATTTTATTCACTTGTCATGTTATGGCCAAGGGCATAAGAACGATTGGTTAAATGAAGGAGATGGTTCTTGAGCCAAAAATTATTACTCACACTCTTGTCATTAAAACCTAAATGATTTTCTTTCTTTCATGGAATAGGAAAAATAAATTAGCAGAATGTTCATGCTTACTATTTTTCATTTAAGAAAAACTACTAATACTAATATTAGACCAATGCAGACAGTCACCAGATTACAGCATGCCATGATGTCACTTCTCAGACATTTTAATTCTGATTCACCATGTTCAATCGGTGGAAACAAGCTCCAACAGACTCCGACAGGGGTAACACACTTATCCGATAAATCCGACAAAAGTATCTGTTGCCGTCTGTTGGTGCGGTGTAAATGGGTCTTTGGGGGTAGATGTACAAAGTGCGTATCTTTACAGCGTATCTAAGCTGAAGATTAAAAAAAAATTCTGACAGTGAATGAAATTAAAAACACCATAGAAATAATACATATTACTAGTCCATAATACTACTGGTTCACCATAAAATGGTCTTTTAAAAACAAATACTTGGACAAAGTACTCAGTATTCTTCCACGGATGTGGACAAAATTCTGTTTTAAAATATGATTTAAGATTAATGCCGCTAGAGTGCCAAAAGAAATATTTTTTTCTTGCTTGCTGTCAAAATTGTATGTGATGAGATAGAATGGGTGGCACAAAATAATGCCTTTTTAATGCTTTTGCTGGATGCATGCAGAGAAGCGTACAGTGTAGTCTGATTCATAGACAAATGATTCGAGTTGGTTCTTTTTAAATGAATCATTCAACAACAGTGTTGGGAGTAACACATTACAAAAGTAATACATTACAGTAACATATTACTTTTTGCTGTAACGCAGTAGTGTAAGGCATTACTAATCAATTTTCAGTAATATTTTACTCGTTACATGTTCAGTGAGGCTTGTATTACATTTGTATTACAGTGAGGCTTGACTTTTAGTTTTAATTGTAAAAAAAAATAAGTTACCTGTTCGTGGTCAGTCAATAGCCACGTGTGGTGTCCAAGTTTGTAAATAAAGGCTGATATATCTGTATAGCGATTTATTTTCTACAGGAAAAGTGAGGCATGATTTCGGCCTCTGTGTTCGCGCTCCCCAGTGGAAAAGCGCCTAATGGGTGAGCATGGCTTGAAGAAGACCATATTCGTGAGATGGACGTATGCACATTAGGCTATTCGTTCTGTGTTTTTAGGCTGTGTATAGGTGGTATCTGTCATGTTTTCCTCACGCAATCATGTTTTTGATGCGGTGGTGACGTGTTCATGTAGTAAGGGTGGCGATAATAATTACCTAAAAGCTGAAAAAGCAAAGATTATGAATATGTCAAATATGCCTATAGCAAGGAGACTTGAATTGTTTAGTAATAAAGATGAAGTTGACGATGCTGACTTGCGATCTTCGCAGTAGGCTAGTGAATGCGAAATGCACATTTCATAAGCAGAGAGCAGTCTGTTTTCTTTCATTTTGAATTGTTCTGTTTACAAGTAGACATTTCAGTATAGATATATTTTTCAGGTCTGTGGAGTAGGCTATACTTAAACGCTGAGTTTCGGTATAGCCTATTGGCTATTTATGAGACGCGCACCAGCACGCCCCCGCGCCTTATCTAATAGGCTATTGTCTGCTTTTACTTCTTAAAGGCTGTAGCAGACCCCTCTCGAATGATGGACACTTCTTTACTGATGTCAATGAAGTTTTTTATTGAGTCTGTTTCACTTCTTTATGCTTTCAATAAATCACATCACCAATCACCGTAAGAGCTGAATAAAGTACAAAAACACGCATTAACAACACGCATTAAACTCTCTCAACGTCATATTATCAACAACATAAGTAAAATACAGACCTTGTGCCTTTTCCGAGGGGGTGCATATACCATTAAACTTCGTTAAACTTGATAAACAGTACAACTCTGCGCGAAGCGCGTGCTTTCTCTTAGCTCTTTCCACTATAACTCGCGCTCTCCCCTTACTTCCTTTTCCCCCGAAGCCCGCAGAACATGTCAAAATAAAAGTCCCACTTAATACATTTTGTAAATCTAATTTAAACTAAACAGGACTATAAAAATATATACAAAAATGTACTAGAAAATTATCAAAGTCTGTTACAAAGGCAATTAGACTATGTGAAAGTTTTAAAGCAGTCTTTTAGTGCCAGTTCAGAGCGGTCGCGTCTGTAAATTTGTTTTTTCCTCATAAATGCGAACACGAAAACTAAAATAAAATGAATATTTTAAGTTCTATGGAGACTGAGAGCCAACCCTTCCTCATCCGATTTGCGCAGTGTAATTAACAGAATTACAAAAAATATATTTTGCCTCCTATTTTTTTGTCACGCATGAATCCAGTTACAGCCACAAAGTTAAGTTCTACTTCTGTAGTTATTTTGGTGAAAGTAACTCAAAAGTAATACATGAGTAATGTAACGCATTACAATTCTGAGGCAGTAATATTGTAAGGTAATGAATTACTTTTAAATAACAGTAACAAGTAATACCTAATGTATTACAGTTTGGAAGTAACTTGCACAACACTGTTCAACAAGGAATTGTTGAGTGAGTTCAGAAAATGATTCCGTCCTTATACATATGACTTTCTGAAGCCATACGTATTTGATTTTGCTTTGGCAACTTACTAAGAGTTTAAGTTTAAATAAGTTAAAGGTGTATAGAAATAGTTATAAACAAAATAAAATGACAGTAGCACATTACAAATTTGCTAAACTTTAAACAAAAATTTAAATAAAAGCTGTTTCAAAATATGAATAAATACTTTAATAGTATAAATTACAACTTTTAATAATTAAAAAATAACACTGAAACGGAACAAAATTTAAGTCATTTTTTATTGCTGTTACAACAATCATGTCTTGTTCAACTTTCTTCCAGAAATAAAGCATGATTGTGTTCAGACACTTTTTGACTGTTGTTTAATAAATGTTGAAGTTGTCGGGACATTTAGGTAATATTCGTACATGACAGCCTGATCCTTTGATCTGATCTCACTGTGCCATTTACAATGTGTTTTGTTGTGAAGCTTCAGCGGTTTTGTGTTCTGTTATGAGGTTTAAGTCATTGCGCCCTGCGGCTGCCTGACTTTCAAATGCATCAGCGCTCTGTGAATGGATCACCTGAGGTGGCCTCTCACAGACCCCATTATTCAGACGTAGACCATTTTGTTGGTAAATCAAATAAACTTGTGTCATTACGCAGAGTAATTCAATGCTCTCAGAGCTCTGGGAAAGCCTGGAGCCGCCGGAGGACACAGAGCTGGACACAAACATGTGTTGAGGAAACACCTGCCACCCAGGCGCCCACCATATATGTGTTTCTATATATATATTTATGTACACACATAAACAGTGTTGGTCAGAATTATTTGGTAAATATGATCAAAGATGGCTGTAAAAAAATAAATCTGCATTGTTTATCCTTTTGATATTTTATTTTTAAAAAATGCAAAAATCGAACCTTTCATTGAAGTAAATAATTGAAATCACATGAAATAAATGTGTTCCCCCAAAACACATTGGGAACAATTATGTGCCCCCTTTTATTACTGTAAATACTTGTTGCAACCTCGTTTTTCCAAGATAACAGCTCTGAGTTTTCTCATATAATGCCTGATTTCGGAGAACACCTGACAAGAGATCAGAGACCATTCCTCCATACCGAATCTCTCCAGATCCTTCAGATTCACAGATCCATGTTGTTCCTCTCTTCAGTTCATCACACTCATTTTCTATAGGGTTCAGGTCAGGGACTTGGATGGCCATTGTAGATGCTTGGTTTTGTGCTCAGTGACCCATTTTTGTTTTGATTTTGATGATTGTTTTCGGATCACTGTCCTCTTAGATGATCCAAACATGGCCCATTATAAGGTTTCTAGCAGAGGTTGTCAGGTCTGATTTTTTTTTTTAATCTGTTGGTATTTGATTGAATCCATGATGCCATGTATCTGAACAAGATGTCCAGGACCTCTGGCAGAAAGTTAGGCCCACAGCATTAAAGATACAGCAGAGTATTTCATTTTCCACATATCCCAGTATAAACCAAACCCATATTAAGGTTAAACTACCAAAAAGCTCTTTTTGTTTCATCTGACTCTATATGTTTTTATATAATATGGTGTTCAGCTTCTCTGTGTCTACTGGTGTGAAAAGGTCAGTGCTACTGTAATTGGGTTCTTAATGTTTCACAGGTTCTTCTATGATCCTGCACATATTTTTTTTTTCTTTTTCGTTCTACATCTTGATGTTGCTGTGTTTGCCATTCGTGTTCTCTCCTGTTTTCCACCTTTTCTTTTTTTATCATTTTATTTTTACTTACAGATTACAGCAGAAACTATTTAAAAAAGAACAGGATCATTCAGGAGCACAGAAACATGTTGTCGGTGCTGCCCCGTTGATCAGTAAAATAGCTTCGCTACTGAAACTCAAAAACGGCGTAGCGTTGCTGTTTTTGAAGTAACTGATTATTTATTCAAATAAATATAATCTTACCGTGGTACTTTATTTTACTTTTCTAGATCCAATTACCTGTAGAAACAAACTTTACTAAACAAAACAAAAAATCAGTAGTTTTAACTTTTATCCATTGTCAAATTCTGCAAACATCAATGTTTTCACTTGTCCATGTTAGCAAATGACCACGTGTAAGCGGAATCATTCACAGCTTGGTGTCCAGTATTATTTTATTATTATTTATAAACTCTAATTGTTTTTATTAATGCTTGTCATTTTTATTACTTATTTATGTTTAATTTATTTTATTTTAGTGTTAGTTTTTTATTATTATTTCCAGTTAGTAAATTTAGTGCTTCAACTTATCTTATTAAAAAATTTTCATTTAGCTTAAGTTTTTCATCTTGTATTTATTTTTTACTTTATTTCAGCTTTATTTCTATGAACAAAATAGTTTTAGTTAACAAAAATAACCCTGATCAGCAGTGGTTCTTTGCCTCCATGTCATCATGTATTAAAATAGTTGATTTTTTTTAATCTTATTTCTTGTTTTTCATGCAGTTGGCAAAACATCTCCCACCCAGAACCATCGGTTACCACTGGAATCTGACCTTCAGCACATCTAAACATGGCATGAGCATTAAAACACTGTACCGGACGATGCAGGATCAGGAATCGCCCATGCTAATGGTTATCAGAGACAGTGACGGACAGGTCAGACTCTTCTCTTTATCTCTCACAAGTGGCAGTCTCAGACCTTAACATAATATTTTTTAAGCCTATTGGTTCTCGTATGTCATGTGACCAGAAGCATCGTAAAGATTTTGGTTGAGTGGTTTCCTAATCTAATCTAGCCTCTGTGCTCTTGTAGATGTTTGGGGCTTTGGCCTCCCAACCCTTCAAAGTCAGCGAGGGTTTCTACGGCACAGGGGAGACTTTCCTGTTCACCTTCTATCCAGAGTTTGAGGTTTGTGCTCAGGTTATCCATTCATTTTCATGAACAAGAGTGACCAACTGTGTTTTCTTGTTCTAAATGCTGTTTCTCTCACTGGCAGGCGTACAAATGGACTGGTGATAATCTGTTCTTCATTAAAGGAGACATGGACTCTTTAGCCTTTGGTGGAGGAAGGTCAGTAACTCAGGGCACTTTTAATGAATAGTGGTTTAATGGACCAAAGCTAGCAAAGGCTTTCTCGGTTGCAGCATAAATACCTGTAATATATGAATTATCGTTGCCAAATTTCAGGATTTTCATGGATTTTGGACAGTAATTTTAATCTGTAATTTTAAGCATTTTACATTTGAATTATATACAATATATTTACATTAGAATCATATTCTATCTATCTATCTATTATTATCATCTTTCTATCAGCATCATCTTTCTATCTTTTAAAAATCATTAAACATTCAAATGCATGCGTTACATTTTAAAAGATTAGAGTATTATAATAATACAGATTTTTCGTTATCAAAGTTTATAGTTGTAACAAAAATCTCACACTCCTTACCTTGTGCATTTTATAATAACTTGCGTAGCTAGAAGGACTTGTCTCGTGTAGAGTATGTTTTTGTACAGTCCGTGATTTTTTTTTTTTTTTTTTTTTTTTTTTTTTTTAATGATTCCCTCCATGTCCATTTACATGAAAGTTTTATCTGAGAATGTTTTCTTCTCTTTCAGTGGTGAGTTCGGGCTTTGGTTGGACGGGGATCTTTATCACGGCAGGAGTCATTCATGCAAAACCTTCGGGAATCCCATGCTCTCCATGAAGGAGGATTTCTTCGTGCAGGATATTGAGATCTGGTCGTTCGAGTAGCAGCATACAGGGAGGTACATTTGTGTTGTTAGTTGGAAAGAGGAATTGGACACCAGGCAGATCCCAAACCTTACTGCACATCACCGCGGCTCCCAGGAAGCCCGAAACGGACGCTACTGTTACCGCGCTTGTCGTATGTTACTCCTGCATTTAATACAGAGCTCTTCTTTGTGCTGTTTAGTATATGTGTTTTGTTCAAGCCGTGTGCAGCGTCAATAACGAACGGGAGGATGTGACAAGGGACCCCCGTGAGCAACTTTAACATCGAGTGGAGATGACGGGAGAGGAAAACGATGGTGGTGGCGGCGGCACGGGTTTGGGCTGCCTGAGAACTGCCATAGTCCAATTTACCTGAGCTGAAGCGGCCGGAGAACGTTCAAAAGATGATGTTAGGCCGATAGGATGTCACTACTGCAACACGGGGATCGATGGGGGAAGGGACAACTACGGAAACAACTGAAAACACATTCTCTTGCTCTCAGAGGAAGAATATGCATTTTTTTGGATCGCGGTGGCGTCCACGAGAAGACGAGAACACATCCGTAGTTTCTTTCGAGGCGAAATATTCAAGTGTCGTGAAACTCGTAGTCTTTCTGTCGTTCACTATCATAGCACACTTTGTCGAAGCACATAATCGGAAACCCCATAGTCGTAATGTTCTGTTCAGTGGGTTTTACGTGTGAGTGTGGCTAACACCGACCCCTCCGCTTCGGAAGGGCCGACTTTTACTGTTCGTAGGCAGAAATGTGTCGCAATAGATTTGTGGAATATGCAAATTCCTGTCCTGTGACCTCAAATAATCCGAACGGGGCACTTTTGTTTTCCCTGTTTCTCTTTCTAAGAGACCTTTTACGTCTTGACGGATTAATTGCTTCTCTGGGTATCATTTGAAAAGCCTGAGACGTGGTTTAATTGTTTTTCATGAATATAATGACAATTCTATATTTATGTATATGATTATATATATACATAAATTAATATATATATATAATATAAATATATATATATAATGATATATATATTGCTGTTAAGTGTGACAGTGATCTTTTTTTGTGCTGATATCTCAGCTGTTACTAATATAATGTATATTACCCTGTAAATTAATGTTAAAATAGTAGATTTGTTCCTATATATAAATATATATATATATAAATGAATATACAGTGTGTGGATTGGTGGGTTGCTTCTCGCACTTTATTAATCTAGTTTCAAGCCAGGTTCTTCAGGCCTCATTAGCAGTAGCAGTACAGTATATATTTTTGTTTGTCTTTTAGATTATAGAGTAAATTAATCGTTTATAAAGAGCTTGCTGCTACTGTGGAGAGGAAAAGCCCCGGACGGGCGTCTCAGCGGTCGAGCACAGGGTCGAATCTGACGGACTCTTCTTCTCTCGTGTCCTGTCCTGGAGTTTATTGTTTGGTTTTTGTCAGGTTTTTTTTTTTTTTCTTTCCGGTGTCTAGATTGACTGTGCACACAACGAGAGGAGCACAAACGTCCTTTCAAAGTGCAAACAAATCCTTCATCTACTTCACCGGAATATAATGTTACAGTGGTGTATAAAGAACAATGAATACTAATAAATTGTTGTAACCTGGGACAGAATCGGGTCTGGTTTTATGGTTTTTATTTTCTTTGGTCTTTCTTTGAGCTCTTCAACACTGAATAAGCAATTACATGATATTTTGTAATGCTGACTTATTCTATTTCCACTGTATTTTTGGAAAGTAATTCTGTGCTAATGTCTTGTTATATGGATATGTTAATCATTCATGGTGTATGTCAAAGCACCATGATATTATCATCCAAAATTATATCTTTACAATAGTATCACCACAGCATTTTTGTGCAAGTGGAAAATTCATGGTTCATACAGCCAAAAATCTGCTTAATTTGGTTCAGAAGGGAAGTCTGTCAACATGAAATATAATTTCACTTTTGTAATCTGTCTTATTTCTTCGTGAAAAGCAGTAGCAATTTGTGGGTCGTGGTTTAAGGGGAGTGGCTGAAAAAATTATGCGGGATTCATGACGTCAGCAAAAAAATATTTCTTCGTAGATTATTTAAATTTTTGTTTTATTTATGTTGAAAAAATACTGAGACTTGTTAGACCAAGAATGTATTATAATGTGCTGATTATAATAGTGATGATGATGATGATTACGTGTGACCGTCACAATACGGTTGTTGATTTTTGTTTGCTCTTGTTGCGGTTTTTATTACCACTTTTAAACTTTGACAGCAGCTCCATAAAGCTTTCAGATGGTAATAGCGAAATTTATTGCCACATTTTGAACCGCACAAACTAAATGCGACGAGAATTCAAATCAAACGACGTCACAAAACTTGATATAAGTAGCGTTTTTGGTTATGAGGTACAATGACAGGGTGATTGACAGGCGTCCAAAAGGAAGAGTCGGTGCTTGTAGGGAAGGGTAATTTTGTGAAGCTGCTGAGGTGGGAGTTCTGGCTGTGCTTGTTTATATCTAGTCTGCTGCTGTTGCAGTAAATATATTCATCTTCGTTCACACTAATGACAAACTCGTGATGTTGAGCAGGTGTCCTGACCACTATGACAGCAGGGCCTGTAATGCTGTGAGATGAAAGTGCTTGGGGATTTTTGACAACTCTGAATATATACGGCTGTAGTCTGTATGTTTCTTTTCTTTTTTGTATATTTTATTTTGTTTACAGGGTCAGAGTGACGTTTTTTTCATCCTGCTGGTGCAAGAGCGCCACCTGGTGGATATATTATAAATTGCTTAATGTTGCTATGGTAATTTATACCACAAACCTCCATCTAATTATAAAAGAATGAGAGAAAAAAACAGGCCTTTAAAACAGGTTCACAAATGTCTCTGGGTATTCCAGTCTTATAATATTTAAAACTATATTTGACCCCAAATATAACAAAAAATATATACAAAGAGGGTAAATTATACTGAAGAACGGTCGAGTGGCTACATACACAAAGCCAGAAATATTATGAACACAAATGTAACACCGTCATAACCACACACTCATGGTTGAAGTATTTCACATTAGAAACTAATTCAATCTTCACATTAAAGCTCTTGTCCTCTTTCAGAAAATATGCACATGATTTTACTTTGAATAGAATGCCATATTTACTGCAAATTTAAAGAGATAGACAGCACTACATGTTGACCTGAAAACTTTTTAAACAACAGAGGAAGGCAAAAATGATAATGAGAGTACCATGTGAAAATCAAGACGTGCAAAATTGTGAAAAAAATCTGAAAAAGCACTGAATCGAGGAAAACGGGTGCTTTAACCACAAATGAGATGCAATCCCATTGATTGTCTTTAGTATTTTGAAAACAAGGAAAACATTTACACAGTTTTAAAAGTCAAGTAGCCTAGTGGTTTAATCAATTAATTTTGCACTCAGCAATATTGACTTTAAAATAAAGCACAGGATTTTTCCACATTTAATTGCAGGGTTCAAGGCAAATTTCATTATGAAAATATAAGTCTATTAACAATGCGTATTTCCTCATCTGAGGCTTGCTCCTTTTGCAGTCTTCTGACAGGAATCCCTTTTTTCCAAATGAAAATGAGGCACTTGGATGTAGCCACCAGTGGCAGATGTGTCCCTTTCAATGGCAGGAGAAATTAAAAATCAGTTTCTTTTTCAGTTTGAAAGTTCCTTCCTAGTAAACCAGGTACTGTAACTCTGAGTAAATGAGAGGAAACATCACGGTACAGGCTCTGTACAGGATGGCTCCACTATTGACCAGCGCTCGTGGAATTGTTAGCCAGGATTCAGATTTGAAGCTGAAGTAAATGGCGTACAGGGCCACCGCGAAAAAGTGACAGATTAGAGTCAAGGGTTTTGGTGACAATCTAAGGGGGGGGAAAGAGATTAGTGGTGTGACAACAATGTACATGCAAGAACCAGTGAAAGAGATCTGATTTGAGGACCACACTGATGTTTTCAGTTTAGTGGTCAGGATGGGTTTTCAGGGGCAGATTGTTTTGTAAATACTTACACTGACAGAAGGCCGATCGGTCCGTTGATACATTCTCCGCCAAGTTTGAAATAGTGGAAACAGGCTTTTCTCAACTGATACAGTGAATCTGAAAATAAACAGAAGTTTTACATGCATTAAGTAACTTGGATTATGTAATCAGATTACTTTTTTTGATGTAACAAGTAATGGATTACTTTATAAATTTACACATTACAAATTATCACTAACATTATTTTAGTTACTTTTTTCAAAGTAATGCACATTACTTTTTAGTTTTAACTTAGCTTGAACATTTTTTGTAGCCCTCAAACCGTATTCACTTTATAGCCCTCAATCCTGTAATTGTGGACAAATGTGGTCACGGAGGACTCAGGTGTGATCCTAATTCTTATTTATTATAAATGTTATATCACTGTCTTCGATAAAGTTTTGTCTATCCATTTATGGTGGGTTTTTTTATTTTGGGGGTGTTTTTGAATTTATTTACTTCAAAAAGTAACATTTCTATGTAAATAATTTATATGTAAATTAATTACTATGTAGTTTTATTTATTTATTTATTTTAGCTATATTAAAATATCATTCCAATAAGTTCTTAGAGCTAAAACCTAAAGATGAAGATGAAGTGACTTTGCTGTCACCTGGTGTCTTATTTTGGCTTATTTTAGAATGCTCTAAATTACAGTTTTTTTCCCATTCATTTCTATGGGTGCCCATATTTTACCCAAATACAAGCTTGAGGGTTTTTTTTCACCCACTTAACATTGTAGAATTGAGTCAAAAAAAAAATTGTGTGTTCAGGAGGCAAACTTAGGAAAAGTAGCCAAGTCTTGTACCGCTCAGATCAAGTGAAGTATTTTTTGAAAATAAATCAAAACTATTTTGCCCACATTTGTCCAGAATAGGGTTTTACTGTAAGGTTGCATTAAAATTCTCTCTCTTCTCCATTCACATGTGAGCCAGAATTGACCAAAAGTACACAAAACACATTTCTTTCAACTTTCAATATAAAGAGTTGTACATCAGTCAATATAAGCTGTAATGTTGAGAGATCTTTTGCATGTCATACGTAGCTCTAGGGGTCAGGAAATATTCTAAATGCTTAAAATATTAGACTATTCTTAAAATATTCTAATTTACTATTCTAAATGTGTCAACATGTTGCTTTTCAATGAAAAAAAAAAAAAACACCTGAAAGGCTTGGAAAGAGCGAGTCTCAATCAGGTGAGAAAAAGTAACGCAACACATTACTTTCCACAAAAAGTAACTAAGTTTTGTGGGGAGTAACGCGATAATGAATTGCCTTTAAAAGGAGACTGTTTTTTGAAAATGTGAAAAAATGTAGATTTAAGAATGTGTTTGGTTTCGTCACTTACTGTCGGTCGCAGCAAACAGCTCATACAGTGCTTGAGCCAAGATGTTCACTACAAACGAGTGAGATGATTTCCGCTCCCAGTGGAATTTCTTCTTTGCCTGACAACAAAAACAGTCTCATTTCTCAGTTCCACCATGATCTCAGCTGCATTTAAGCATTTATCCAATACCATCTGTTCTAAAACCTGCCTACAAAGGCATTACCTACACTGCAAAAAAATGTTGGTTTAACTTAAAATAAGTTACCTGGTTGCCTTAAAAATTTGAGTCAATACAATAAAGGAGATCAGACACTCAAAAATATTATGTTATCTGAACCACATTCAATTATCTAAGTTGATTTGACAAAAGAAAAAAAAAAGCTGTGATGTATCATGAAAATAGTTTTTTTTTTTTACAGTGTAATCCAATTAGCATCAATACATAAAAGACACACATATCAGGTAAAATTGTAAATTCGGTTAATCAATAAGAAGTTATCTTGGAGCTCACAGTATGTAGTCAACTCGCTAAGTTTCGCAACAAAGCTGATGTTAAACGTTCTTGTCTTGATATGATTTGCAGTGACAAGCAGCAATGCCTGGCACCAGAAAGGGATCTGATGTTAGCGGTTACCTGGAGCACAGCTGTATTGTCATAGAGATCAGGGATGTTCTTTAGCAGGTCTCTCCAGATGCGGACGTCATTCAGCACAACGCTCATCCCGCCACCGGTCAGAGGATGACGCATGTTATACGCGTCTCCTAAGAGCAGAACCCCTAATGGAGGACAGGTACACTCGCAACACACAGTTTTTCCACATTAAACTGCACAATTTCACTCTATGGATGCAAAAATTGTTATGAAATCCAATCCTGAATTGAATTAAAGATTGTTCTAACTGTGCGATATAGGTTTGTGTAGTTTTGTTTTTTTTGACAGGCCTACTGCAGTTTAATGTAACATCTACATTTTAGTGTTTTCATGACACACGCTACCAGTTTAATGCTCACCAAAGCTGCATTTTTATACTTTTGTGGAAATTTTAGCAAATGCGCATTTCAGCATGACGTGACGCGTGTAATTGCTGCTGAAAATTCAACTTTGCATCATAGGTATAAAATTACATTTTATAATATTTTCAAGTGAAAACAGCTATTTTGAATTGCAATATAATTTCACGATATTACTGTATTTTTGATCATACAAATGCATCCTTGGTGAGCATAATAGACTTCTTTAAAAAAAAGAAAAAAGAATGTAATTAATTATTCCAAGCATTTTAAGTGTGTGTGTGTTGATATACATTATAGATAGAAAGTCATTCCTTATGGCTTACCTGGTTTATTGACTGGTGAGGGTGGCAGGAAGCTGGCTGGCATTGTTCTCAAACGATCATTCTGCAATGCCACCATGAACGGCTCCTTTAAATGCTCTGTGTAAGCAAAATGCACACATTTGTTAGCATTTTGTCGTAATGTTTCAATTGTGTTGTTGTGCTAGCCTGGCTTTCCCCATGCTGCCTTGCCGCAGCGCGATTTTATTCACGCCGCTAGGCAGCCTGGACACCATGAACCAAATTTTTGCCTGAGATAGGGAACCAATCACAGAACAGGGAGGGAGCAACAAGACGATGATGACGTATATGCGACACACCGAAGCAGTTTGTTTATATCTATGGATCCATCTTGGCAGTGGACGCGAAGTTACTTTTTGATACAGCCTTTGTGTGTACATAAATCTCCGACCCATCATCTTCTCGTGTCGCTCTACATACGTCACCTGTTATCATTGAACCGACTGACTATGAGCTACGTACAGGCGTATTTGATAGACATTCGTAGCACCCAATAATACGGCTCTGGGCATTCATAAGCCACGCCTCAAATACGAGAAAATGACCGTATGGTTTGCCAGACCACGTCTCATTCTCAATGACATGTGGTCTGGCATTAGCCAGGCTATTGTTGTGAATTGTATATAGAAATACGACTGAAATAAGAAGTATTTTAGAAATCCATCAGTATAAAAAGTACTCATTTTAGCAATGAGGATTTTTTAAAGTCTAAGTCCGATACCTGGTAGTTGTGGGTAGATTTTTTCTGTCATGTACTGCTTAAGGTCTCGGGGCATCTCTCCTCTGATATCCACCAGAACCCGAGTCTCATTGGAGGAGATCTGGTAGATCAACACCGGACTGGGATCAGCTAGAACCAGCTCTGCATGATTGGGCTTGTACTGAGGTGAGTCCTGGAAGAGAACATAACCGCACACTGAATCATTGTGTTGCTTGGGATTTTTTAACAGAAGACTGCAACTGTCGCCCTTATGTTTACCTTCATTATGCATCCAACAAAATGAGACGATACTTTAACTTTCCCAGAAATTAGATTCTTACGGAACTTGGAGAAACAGCCGTCAGCGACCACAGTCAGGGGAGCACGGATCTCCTGAGGGAAAGAGTAAGATTGCAGTGAGGGGAAAAAAAAAAATGGGCTAGGCTTGCTTGTTTGTTTTTAATTACAAAAATGTTTTATTTTTGGAAAATGTAAAGGCTCTTTCCCAGCAAAAGTGTAAGGTCCACCCATTGGCCCAAAGACGGAATCCAATGGCTGGGCGAAGGGATAATGCGTGTATGTCTTTTCAGCGCTCCAGTGAAGTTCACTTAATTTATTAGAATTTAGTTTCAATATTGCTTTAGCTCTACGCTTAATCTGACTCCAATTTTTACTTATGATCAAGTTTAGATTGTGTTTTTCATTAGAAAATAACCATAACTATTGATTATAATTTAATTTACATCTTTGATTTGTCTGTGTTTCTTACACTTTCAATTATTCGTTCATTATGGACCCGATGCCGCACAGAGATCACGTCGGCCGGATCGTGTTTCTCACGGACACAAACCTTGTCAGTTCTGTATTTAGTCAGAGGGTGCAGGGTTAACTAATACTTCTTACGTCGGTTGCCTACTGCTCACACGTACAAAGAATGTAGTTTATTTTAGCCACTTCCATACAACTTGCTAAATCAGTGATAGACAGAAATCAAAAGGTCTTCAGAAGGACGTGCCTACTGCTCCATTCACATCTGCGCCTTTAGTTTGACCTATCCTGCAAGATTTGCGGTAGCACCAGCCTCCTATAATTTACTAAAATAATGACGTCAGAATACTCCAGAGTAAATCAAGATGTAACATTTATTTGTCAGGAAAAATGTATCATGCCAATTACCCAAGCAATTAACAGTAAATACATGACATCAATTACTCAAAGATGATTCTGAAAGTAAGCAATGCATTCCTGACAGAGACACACAGTAGTGTGTGAGTGCTTTCCACTGGGAAAACACTGACACAGCACTGTATGGGGGTTTTCCTGGTTACAGGTTCCCGAAGACTGCTCTGTTACCTAGCCTTAAATACCCAGACCAGAACAAAAGGGTTGTACCAATAGCTTTCAGAGTTTGTTTTGGGTCCATTCCTATACCCCAGGGGGTAACACCTCTACTCGGGGGAGAGGGGAGATATCTTGAAAAGACATCACCCTTGGAGGAGAACTGGATTCTCCTAAGTTCTCAATCTTTCTCCTATTTCCAATAACTGTAATGAAATTAAGACCATTTTACCAATCGCACTGAGACACTTAAAATGATACCAAACATGAAAAAGGGAAAACCTTAGATTCACAAGCAAAGAACAATAAACACCTATCACCCAAATCTTTATTGGGGCATCTCCCACAACAGAAGAACAGGCATTGTTTTCTTGTTCTGCCTGTTCTGCTGCTGCAGGAATGAAACAATTATATAATTCGCGCCAGAAGTATTTATTTTGCCCTTGCATAACACAGCTGGAGGCAGGAGGTTTGTGAGATTTGAATGCCTGAATGAGCGCTGGAGGAGAGAAGATATTGTGCAGAGTCAAGAACCACAACATGGGGGGAAGATATCGGGTTGGGCCAGTTGTGTGGTGCCCTCTGTCCCTTTTACAGATTAGTGAGTTTTCATTGTTTTACTGCAGTTTTGAATTCCTAAATTCAGTCTTAGGAAAGTCCTTCCTTACAAAAGTGAAGAGGAAAAGCTTCAGGCTGAAGGAAATGCAAATTTATAAAATATAAATTATTTTGTAGTAAATTTAAAAGTCATGCATTACTTTGCTCGTTACTTGGAAAAAAGTAATCTGTTACTTTTACTAAAGTGCGTTACCCCCAACACTGGCCATGTGAATAAAAGTGTGGCTTACAGAAGTATTTGACCTCCTGTGGATGATTGCCAGAGCAAATCTAAATATCTGTGATCCATTAATCAATATTACGTACAAATATTTCAACCGAGTATCAGTGTGCCATTACCTTGATCATCCCAGAGTCTTTCTCCCTGTACTGAATTCCTGTCACACACTCATCATCTTCCTCCAGGCTTGTCACCGTTCCCTCCACGAACTTCACACTATGCAAATATGACATGATATTAAACCCATCAGTCTCTAAATCATTGGGTGAAAAGAAACAAAAGCCCTTACTAAGACTTTTTACAAAATTCAACTCCTGAAGAAGTGAAGAACATTTAAATCATCTAAACAACCCTTTAACACTATAAAGCACCATTTGTGGGATGGATGTTATGGATATGGATGTTAAAGGTTCTTAATAGATCCATAGATGCCAATAGAGTTTACATATCAAGTTCCAAAGGTAAAACTCCATTAAATTTCTCCATAGGGAAATTCATTTTCAATGATAAACCTTTGAAGACAGCTACGATGTTATTTGCTTCTGTTGAAGCCGTTGTCCCACGTTATTTCAGCTTATCTTTGCAAAAATCGTGTTTAACAGCATCATCTGTAGTGAAAATCTACATTACTCTTGAAGCTGTACAGAAAATTCCATCAATCAGATCTCATTAACTCCACCTACTCCCATGAAGCACTGCAAATGTCTAATCGAGTCAGTATCCCTAAATATTTGAATATATGTGCATAATTTGTATATGCATAATTTGCTGTTTGCAATGCTTCATGGGATTGTAGTTCTTCCCTCACTAAAGCCGTTAAGTTCACAGTCTTGTACCTTTGTATTTTTGTCTGATGTTCCAATACTTTTTTTGCTTCAAATCAAAGTTTTTAATGTTTTTATTCACCTCATAGTTGATTGGCTTGGTTCATGGCTTATACTGCTTTAACAAAGATTTTTTGAAATCCCTATGGGATAAATGAATGGAAAAACACTTTCATTACCAACGCCACAAGTGGGAGCTGTTGCACTCTATAAAGAACCTTGACTGACCGACAAGTACTGTATAATCTCACCATATATGAGGTCTAAAGTCAAAAATCACATTATGCAAAGTGTGTTTTCCCACACAGTGGTTTTGTATGTTGGTTTCAAACACCTCTTTAAAACATTTTCAAATTAGAATAATTCTTCTATATAAGACAAGTAATGATAAGCATGATATTCACCATCAGGTGTCAGTCATTATAGTCATAAATGGATAGTACAAACGGCATCAGGTATTTACTTGGGCTCAGCGAGGGCAGCTCGACGCAGTCCCATGATAAAGCGTCCATGGTGGAAGGCTCGTCCACCCTGAATGCTGTTCTCTAGCTGTGGATATGGGATCTCCACCTCCGTCCTGCTCTCCAGGTCGTGGATTACATATCCATTCACCACATGTGCATCCAGACCCTCAACAGTACCTGAGAGAAGACAAACACAAAGTAACAAACTGTGAGTTTATGAAAATAATTATTAATTAAATGAAATACAAAGCTACAAATGTGAATTTGTATATTGCATATTTAGCCTATAAAAACACGATCATTTCTATTTACTCTCTACTATTTATTAGAGATTTAAAAACCAACAAAAATATAAAGAGAGATTTAAACAAGCATGCTTTTTGATAGAAAGACATTAACAGTGATGCTGTACCCTCCAGGTCGAGTTCCTTGAGTGCCCGATATCCTCCCGGCTGCAGAAGTTCTCCCACTATCCGATCTGGTTCTTTCATGTCCCTCTCCACCACTGTGACCCTCCGGCCATCTCGGGCCAGGACGGCGGCCATGGCTGATCCCAGAACACCAGCACCCACTATGATGACCTCGGGATCCTCTGCCTGATCACACTGACTGTCAGTCGCTCTCCTTCGCTTTACATCTCTCTAGTTAAGTTGAGTGTCAAGCAACAAAAAGTATTTATTATAAGAATATCAATATGTATTTATTTTATTTAAATATATTTATTAACTATATATATATATATATATATATATATCATTTTCAATATAATAATGTATGTATTGTTTTCATGGTAGCATTCGCAGTGTTCTAAAAATAATTTATATTTAATTGTTTCATTTAATATTATTTATATATATATATATATATATATATATATATACATACATATGTATATGTATAGGTGTGTATATATATACACACCTATACATATATTGTAAAAATACTTAATAGTTAGAAATGTGTTTAAAATAAAATACATCTTCTGTAATAAATGAATAGGGATATTCGCCCCAATATATTGTCATGCTTCACTCACCCTCAAATTGTTCCAAACCTGTATGAGTTTCTTTCTTCTTCTGAACACAAAAGAAGATATTTCGAAGAATGTTGGTAACCAAACAGTTGCTGGACTGGACCCCATTTACTCCATCAACTATTTGGTTACCGACATTCATCCGAATATCTTATTATGTGTTTGGATTGGAACTTGAGGGTGAGGAAATTAAGACAGAATTTTCAATTTGGCTGAACTAACGTTAACCCTGAACGAATAAACTATTTAAATTATTATCGCAAAATTCGATTAAATTCTTTGAAAAAATCTCTTTATTAGTGGAAATTGAGAGCAATGAAAACTAAATGGTCAACTAGGCCTATGAAAACAGACACAAAGTATAGTAATGATCAAAAACACAATATCTCACCTTTTTAGAAGTTCGACTACAGCTGTCTGTACTAGACGTGGAGAAGAGTTTTCTGGTCAGGGAGAATGTAGACAAGAGTTTGAAAGGTATCTGGAGAAATTGAGGCGCTTTGAGTGTCTGTCCGCGGAGCCCGAGACACGTGAATATCAGACCCACCGACACGCACAGCACCGCGGCCACCATCAGCTCTCTGGGCGCGTAACTCACCAGGGCGTCGCATTTCTTATAAATATAAGTAAAACTTGCAATGCCAAGAAAGGTCCACATGTCGAAAATCACTTCAAATATAAGAAACAAAAATAATAAGACTGCTTTATGGCGTTCAAAAATGTCAATTAAGTATTAAAAGAACAGCACATGTGAAAATAGACTCCGAGTTATTATTCCATGCGAAAAACGTGGGGGGAAATAGTATCTATTTTCAGAATAAGTTATTTAAGTTAATTTAAGCAAATCCCTCTTCTTATAAATAATCATAAATAACAATTTAAGTGTAATGTCCAGGTGCACTCGGGCTGATGCGAAGCTTCTAAGAGATACTGAATAATTTATGATAATGAGGGTGCGGATTCTCTTGCAGTTTGTAGACTGCTGCGTCCCGCCTCCTCTGTTTATAGTGAGCCAATCAGCTGCGAGTCTTCGGTGAGCAGAGCTCACGCTATCTGGCCATTGGCCAATCCAGGCTGCTGGTTGGCGAATGGACTGAAGTATGATGTGATGTCACGGAGAGGTTGTGTTTGGCAGATGTTACGAGAAAAGAGCGTCATTTAACGTAGTCCTAAATTTGCCCGTTGTATAAATTGGGGAGAATAAATAATCGAGAGAGACCTCTTAATAAGTGCAATGCCATTTTTATATGATATTGATGATATTTTGATGAGATATATATATATATATATATATATTAAACTAAATAGCAGAGATTTACAATCACAAGTTGATTGGTTCAGAAATGACATTAAGTAAATAATACTTTCATAATTTCAGGCTCAAAACATTGTTACTTTGTTTTGCTTGATGAACTCAAATGAATGCATTAAATTGATGCAGCGAGTACAAGCATATGCACATATAAAGATAATGCAGATAGACACTTTTGTTTGAAGTAATCTGCTCAATAGCGTGCACTGAGCTAGGGAGACCAGACAACTGAAATGAACTCATGATGATGCCTAATAAAGGCTATATATGTAAATTGAGAGAGTGTGGCATGATGTCATTATGATGTCACGATGACAAAAAAAACCTTGTCCTCACACCATAAAAACGGGATGCATAAAGTTGGATGACAAACTATCTTGAAATAATGTCCCGGGATTAAAAATAAATAAATAGGCCTTAAATTATATAGGCTTCATTTTCTTTAGGCAAATATAATTCTTCATGAAATGAAAACTTAAAGGATTAACCCTCAAACCGTATTCATTTTATAGCCCTTAATCCCGTAATTGTGGACAAATGTGGGCACAGAGGACTCTGTGATCCTAATTTTTATGTATTATAAATGTTATATCACTGTCTTCGATAAAGTTTTGTCTATCCATTTATGGTGTTTTTTAAAATTTTGGGGGTATTTTGGAATTTATATACTTCAAAAAGTACCATATTTTCTATGTATTTTATGCTTATTTTTATGTTTTAATTTTTATTTTTTTTTAACTACATTAAAATATCATTCCAATAAGTTCTTACAGCTAAAATCTAAAGATGAAGTGACTTTGCTGTCACCTGCTGTCTTATTTTGGTATTAAATTATCCAAAAAAACAATAATATCAATAGCAACTATATGGCTATAGTACTTAATGGCTGCATATATAGGCTTAACTCTATGAACCACTGTATAACATGAATTTGACCTCTTAAGTTTTTTACTATCACAAGTTAAAATTGTAATTTAAAAAAATATATATCTGTGTTAGGTGAGACTATACAAATATGCCAAAATATGCTTAGATAAATATAACCATGATACAAGGAAAATGCAAAGTAGTAGATCATTTATCATTTATTTCAAACACGAAACATCACTGCAAGTTTAGGTAGCAAAAAAAGCCCAGCTCTGTCTTAGGCTCATTGAATGCATTGTGTGTGTGTGTGTGTGTGTGTGTGTGTGTGAGTGTGAGAGAGAGAGTGAGTGAGTGAGAGAGAGAGAGAGAGAGAGAGAGAGAGAGAGGGTGATGAGCCAGGTGGATGATTGGATCATACCAAAACACATGGTCGGACATTAGCCCAGCTCTGTCATAGGCTCACTGAATGCATTGTGTGTGTGTGTGTGAGAGAGAGAGAGCTATCACACACACACACAAACAATGCATTCAGTGAGCCTATGACAGAGCTGGGCTAATGTCTGACCATGTTTTTTGGTATGATCCAATCATCCACCTGGCTCATCACCTTCTCTCTCTCTCTCACCCTCTCTCTTACACACACACACACACACACACACACTCACACACACACAAACAATGCATTCAATGAGCCTATGACAGAGCTGGGCTAATGTTTGACCATGTGTTTTGGTATGAATGCATTGTGTGTGTGTGTGTGAGAGAGAGAGAGAGAGAGAGAGAGAGAGAGAGAGAGAGAGAGAGAGAGAGGGAGAGAGAGAGAGGGTGATGAGCCAGGTGGATGATTGGATCATACCAAAAAACATGGCCAGACATTAGCCCAGCTCTGTCATATGCTCATTGAATGCATTTTGTGTGTGTGTGTGTGTGTGTGTATGTATGCGTGTTTGAGTGTGTGTTTGAGAGTGTGTGAGTGTGTGAGAGAGAGAGAGAGGGTGATGAGCCAGGTGGATGATTGGATCATACCAAAAAACATGGTCAAACATTAGCCCAGCTCTGTCATATGCTCACTGAATGCATTGTTTGTGTGTGTGTATGTGAGTGTGTGAGTGTGAGTGTAAATTTTTGCCATGATGAGAATGTTGTACAGGATCAGCCCTTCATTTGTGTGTATGTTAGATATGCATTGTATTGGATCTAATAATTTATTTTTACAAAAAAACAAGAAGAGTGCTCTAAATTGCAGTTTTTCCCATTCATTTCTATAGGGTGCCCATTTTTGGGCAAATACGGGATTAAGGAGTTTTTTTTTTCACCCACTTAACATTGTAGAATTGAGTCAAAAAAATTTGTGTGTGTTCTGGAGGCAAACTTAGGAAAAGTAGCCAAGTCTTGTACCGCTCAGATCAAGGGAAGTATTTTTAAAAAAATAATCAAAACGATTTTGCCCAAATTTGTCCAGAATACGGTTTGAGGATTAAGTTAGCTCACCCTAAATAAAAAATCTGTTTTCATTCTGAAATTTAATTACTCCCTTTAATTACTTCCCTCACACTGATGTCGCAGACTTTCGTTCATCTTCGGAACACAAATGAAGATCTTTTTGATGAAATATGAGAGCTTTCTGTCCCTCCATTGACAACCATGACAACCAACTGACACTTTCCCGCTTCAAAAAGTTCATAAAGAGATCGTAAAACTAGGCCTACTCCATTTGAATTGAGCGGTTTATTCCAAATTTTCTGAAGAGACTCGGTCGCTTTATGACGAACAGATTGAATTTAGGCTTTTATTCACATATAAACATTCATCCACTCACACATCAGTTGTGGTAAACAGAACCTCAAGCATGTTCTCTTGACATGTGATAACCAATGAGGTTCATTCTCGTGTTACTTATCACGATTGAGCATCCGCAAGAACCAATGAGGTTTATTCTTGCACGTTAAGCAGATTCGGTTGAGCTTCTTTTCATGTTCGCTGATCAATGTTTATATGTAGGATATAATTTTATGGTGAACTATCCCTTTAAGTAAACAGTATTTATATGAAAATCCTTCCACATGACAGTTCCACCCCCATCTAATAACTGCAATTATGTGAGAAGCTGGACAGCTGTGTTGTCTATGTGTTTGAATAGGCCTCTTCACAGTCGAGTGTGTAGTCAAAAAGATACTCTCACAATCACGATTCACTGACACACTGAATTATTGGAAGCCAGCAGCTGCTCAAAAGAATCTGCATATCAGAAATTATTTGTATTTCTCACACAAACACACACACACACCAGCCTCACATTTTCTGCATTTGATTATTTGGATAATAAGTGTGCATTAGAACAGTTTTAGGGATGCATTTCATTGTGTAGCCTATCTATTTTGCTTTTGACAGTGAAAACATTAAAAAAATAGCCATGTCAATTATGACAGTTTTTGGATGACTGCATCTTTATTTTTTCATAATGATAATGTGGCTTCATTAAAAGTGTAGTTGGGTACTATTTAGTTTAACCCGTGTTTTTTTTTTTTTTGTTTTTTTTTTTTTTTTTGAATGCCCTTCTTTAAAGCCTGTGGTTCTAACTCACATACTTTGAATAATTGTTGTTTTGGAGACATTGGTTTGTTTCTAATTTGCAATTACACAATTCCTGCTTTAACCACACGGTGTCGCTCTCTCTTAACTCTGCACAGATGTTCCAAATCTGTGGTAGCATTTCTGACTCATGATTTGTTGACTTCGTCGCAATTCCTCGACTATTCTTGTTTTAAGCTAACGCAGAGAAAAATTAAACTAGATTTCAAAACCTTTAAAAAGAAGTACTGTGGCGGTATACCTTGGTACAGTCATGATATTACATATAATTCTTTGTAGTTTAAAAGACTTCCATTTCACTTAGGCCTATAGACCATTTTCCAAGATGTAAACAACACTGGTCCAGAAGCACTTCCTGTTTCAGTTTTTTAACACTACATAAAAGCTGGGATAAAATACAACCAACAGAACATATAAAACTGAATCAAAAAGTTAAACAAACATCTTTAAGATGTTGTCTTTACATGTGAAATAAAGAAAACAGTTACAAACTGTTTCTAGACCAGTGTTGTTTACATCTTGTATAATGAATTTGTAACTACCATTGGATTATGTCTATAAATTACCATGGTACTTTGGTTTTGTTTCCATCTTGTTTTATGTTTCCTTATTTAAATAAGTTTAGTAAACTGGTAGGCCTGCTGGTTTAAACAACCAGGAACATTGACTATGACTCACTTTCAAGCCGGAACTGTATAGTAAATTTCCCCAGCTAATGAAATACAGTATATTACACCAACTTGTGTGTGAGAAATGCTTCCTTTTTCATGATGTTCAGTAAATAGTTTCATTAGAGCAGACACGCAAACCAGATGTAAGTATCATGAGCCCCTGAGACTACTGATTTTGAATCTAAAAATCATTTAACTGTACTAAAATAAATGTAAAAATATAGTAAAGTAGCCCTCTATTGTTTAATATGACTGTGTGTAATGTGAAATGTTATGTTTTCTCTAACCCCAATGAACAATAAACAGGTCACTTTCACTGCTCAGTTAAGGTGTTTAGTTTATTGTAATTAAGTTATAAAATATCTGATGCAGAAAAATCAAATATAAAAAGAACACAGAACAGTACCCAGACTCATAAATAGAGTATTTACATATTATAGTACAGAAGAAAAACAGCGGGGCCTGGAACACTACATGGAAACAAAGCGTTTAACCCAATGCTACAGT